GAACTGGGACATGCGGCAAGTGGTTTCGGCACCGGTCGTCGATCATCTGTTGTTTTGCACACGTGACAAGGTGAGGTTTGGTGGCTGGGCTGTTTGTGGTTGGTAAATTTTTCGTTTCCGTAGGTCGCCGTGCGTTGTTTCCAGCTGATGTGCAGCAGGGTGAAACGAACATGGCCCATTGAAGCGAGTGATCTGCAGCGGGTGCGAAAATTTGTTGTTCTTAACTGCCTCAGCGGAAAAAAGTTCTTCATGGAAAACTTGACAGCAGCTGTTTTAAAAGTGAGTGTAAAGTGTTCAGGTTTGTTTTCGGAATCGAAATATTTACGCATGTATGTTTGGAAGTTAACAATGTATAGGTGTTTTCATGCTTTTTGTTCATTCATTCGTCCATTTTCATTGCCCGCTATTCATTTACCGAATTCGAAGAACTGGTTTATGGGGCATTGTCGATGTCCGCGGTTCGTTGCCAAACAGAGAAGCTCAGTGACCTACATTCCAAGGCGCGACAGTGTCGGGTGGTGTGCACTCAGACCATCTGGTCCACGGTCTGTCTTGTTTTTCTGTTAAGAGGCTGTGCCTGACAGGTCCCTCATGTTGTATCCTCACCACATGACGAAGCCATCGCATTTGTGATCCCTTCACCTTGAAGCGAAGTGGATCAAAATCGAGTTTATTTTCGATTTTGGATTCATCATTTATCGATTTAGATATTTCTTTATATGTGGTTAAGAAAAAATAAGGACTTATGGTGAAGACGGCGTTACAGTAGGACTTTAGGAGTGAGGCAATGAAGACATGGCGAGGATATTAACGCATTTATCTACTCTCCGTTCGAAGAAAATGATTTAGAGGAACGAGCTAATGCGTCAGTAATTCTATGGTACAAGAAAAGGATAACGATGATATGGAGAACTGTAGGTGCATCAGCTGAATTCCATTCATTGACAAGATCTCACAAAGGTATCATTGAACATACTTCAAGAAATGCTGAACTCTGCGCAGACAGAGGCGCAGACTTAGTTCAGAAGTGAATTTAATGCAATTGATTACCGTAAGGTGATAAGATTACGTTTCAGATCTTAATGCA